TATGAAGAAAGCAGTCTTCTGGGATTTGGCACCGTGTATATGTGGTGTTAACCGACGGTCCTCCGAAACGTCGGTTAACACCACATATACACGGTGCCAAATCCCAGAAGACTGCTTTCTTCTATCTAATCTTTGATAGCTGAAACAGAAAGGCATCATACAATAACATTCTTCTGAAACCATGTTCCGCCATATTCCTTATGTGTAGACAAAGGGCTGTATGCCCTGGCATATTGTTAGAATTGTGGCTCGCTTACACAGTTCAACTGAAATTTAAAACTTGCAACGATTTTAAATACATTTTCCGAAAATCCATCCATGATTGCGCTGATGGGCGGATAGACTGGCATACCGAATATAAAACGCACTCACATGTTTGTAAAAATAATTTAAAACGATTTTATAGAATATCAGTGGTACAAGAATCGCAGGTTGGGAACCACTACTTTTTTTACTTCATTTTCCAGGTAAACTGAGCATATTGCGTCTACATAGACAATAGCTAAGTGGAAATATTTTATTGCGGTCATTTCTTTGATTGTTTCAATTTCTTCTAACTCTTCTGGGAATCGCTCGTGATTTCTGACCGGTAGTGACGTCAGTCAAGGAAAATAGTTTCGATTGTTGTTATGAAGACTGGGAGCAGTTCAGTCTAATATCCGCTTCACATGCAAAATCGTGCGTTCACCAACCGCCCCATTGTCTGATCATAGGGCTTGGTAAGTTGAGCGTTTACCGTTGGGTTGTGGAACTGCATACTATGAAGTGGCTTCTTGGGCACAAAAACTCCATTACAAATGCCACTCTTCGAAAATGGCATCATTTGCTCTGCCCGACTGTTAAAGCTATACTTAATGTCTGCCCGCTACAGAGAGATGTCGTGGAGTTGTATCACTGTTGGCGAGAAAGATTTGCTTTTCATTCCCCACTTCTCTTTTTTTCAGAGAAGGTGATGATTTCGCAGTCATCGGGAGGCAGGTTGCCTGAGGAATGAAGATTGAAATGTGAGTACTTTCCTTTCATTCATTTCAGTCCTTCAGATTCTTGTTTTCTGGAATCATGCTTTAATTATTTAACTTACAGTAAGTCTTAACGAACCTTCGGTTTCCTTAAAATGTTCAAAGTTCTTGAGTAGCTGCACAACCGGCTGCTTCTCAAGAAGGGCTCCGCTTCCTGAAGTTAGTTAAGTCGCCAGCCCATACGGCCCCAAGGTTTCCGTGTAAGTTGAAAAACCGTGCAAGTCCAAGAATGCCTAAATAAAATGTTAAAGAAATGAAAATGTATTTAGTATGGATGTACTGCACACATACTTGTACATGAAAGTAATTTAACAAAACTAATGTATATTTGTGAACGGAGTTCATGGAGGTAGGCCTAGGCCCACTGGGGCTGTAGTGCCAAGGGGGAGGGGGAAATGTATATTTATTATTAAGTCGTTTTTGGTTCAGATTCTGCAGATGATTATGGCATTGGATAAAAATGTTCATACAAGTACCTTCACTGTAAAAAATAAGGGGGACAAAAAAGGAAAAGGAAAAGAAAATTGCATCCGTGAATCTACGGATTAGTGTAACTGGAACCCGTCTAAGTTGGGGACTTATTTATATACTTATGTCCCTCTTCTTTGTTAGTTTATTCTCTCGATACAGAAAAGTCGTTGTAATGTTGCGTAAGGTTACGGCAACACAGTGCGCCGACAGAGCAAAACACTTGCTGGTTGCAAGCAGTATTAATTTTATCGGTGGATGGCTCTGCAAAAAATAAGTCCCTGTCATTATTTTCCTGAAAAATCCTTATTTAGAAGAACTTTTAAAAAGGTTTCGTTACGGATGTTATGGAGCCGGGATAGCGCAGTCGGTATAGCGACTGGCTACGGGGTGGATGACCGAGGGGTCGGAGTTCGAGCCCCGGTAGGATCAAGAATTTTCTCTTCTCCACGTCGTCCAAACCGGCTCTGGGGTCCACCTAACCTCCTATCCAATGGGTACGGTTGGCTCTTTCCAAGGGGTAAAGTGGCCGGGGCGTGAAGCTGACCACTCACCTCCAACTAGTGCCAAGGTCAAGAAAAGATTGATCTATACATCCGCTCCCTCATACGTCTTCATGGCGTAGTGCTTAATTAATTAAGCACGTAGATAATTTTTACGGATGTTATGATTGGACTGCGAATATGCGAAGCGAATCCTCTGGTACAGCAAACTGGAATCTTGTTGTGATGTTCCGAAAATATATTTTATTCTGTAACTGAAACCAATAGCACCCGGTACTTGTCTCTTGTTTCCAAGGCAACCCTTTCTCAGATTGTGTGTCATCGTCACTACTGAAGTAGAAAGAACCTATTCATTTATACGACAAGTTTTGTCAGTTTCGTTTGCCTCCGTCCCGTAATTCCATCACGGATTTATACGTGCTGACACCGTCCCCGTACCGTTGTACCGAAGTCTGTGAATCCTCTTGTTCCGTTATCCTTGCCATGAAATGCGTTTTATTACGAATCATGACACGTTTCGGGTTAAGCACAAAATGAATGACAGCGCTCGACCCTTAGGCGTGCATTTTGTAAGGCCATTTCGAATGCAGAAATCGTATGGGATCCAGGGCAACCAGGAGAGGAGGACTCTTTGTAGTGGTGAGGATTCAAAGCAGTGACTAATAACTCTGTAATGTAATAACATAACTCTGCAAGGCGCACGAGGAAATTAATCATTTGCAGTCACACCTTTGATATATTATTTATTCAATTCTCGAATGCTCTACCGTTTTTGAGTTGCTGAGAATTGTACAGGCAAATACGAAATACGTATTACGAATTCACTTTGTTTAATTATTTAATGCAAGGATCTCATGCTCATACATTCCTGCCAAGAACATGTAATTGATATAAGGCCAGCAAATATTAGGTCCAAAGTAAAGTTAAAATAAACAGTAATTTGTGAATTTCTTGTTATCAGTCAATTATTGTCTCGCCCACTCCCCCGGAAACTATAGATTAATATCAGGAAAGAAGTAGTCTGAGAATGCTTTTTTCGCTGTTGCGAGATTTGGTCTTTTGCTCAGACGTAAAGGCATAAGCATTTCAAAAGTCCAAAGGGAGATAATCGGACACGACCTTTCCTTAAAGAGGTCCTTTTGAACGCCAAGGTGGTAGAAGGATAATATCAGAAGGATGTTAGGGAAATGAAGTATGCTGACGTCAGTCGGAGGCAGAACTACTCATGTGGCGGTGATGAACTTTCCACTTTCATAATATGATTATGCACTATTACCTGCAGATGAAAGCTTCTGTGTTATAGTGGTCAGAGTTCCTGGCTACAGATCCAGAGGTCCCGGTTTCGATTCACGGCGTTACTTGATTTTCTGAGAAATAGTGGGTCTGGAACGAGGTACACTCAGCCCCATGAGGATAATTGAGCAGGTACTTGAATGGAAACATAGCGGCTCCGTTCTAGAAAACCGAGATTAACGGCCGCGGAAATCCGTTGCGCTGACCACGAGACACCCTCTGTCCGCAAAAGTAGGCAGTAACTTCGCAGACAAGCGGCGGTCGCTGGGTCGGTATAGTTAGCTTGCGGACTACAAGCCTCGGAGTTTATAGTTTTTTATTACCTGCAGATTTCACGGTCTAAAATAGGAAACCACCATGTACTTCAGGAAGAAGCATACGTAGCACGGGGAAGCAGGAAATATATTCAAAATTTCCTTCTTAAATCTTAAACGGAAGGAACAGTTTCGGAGACCTAACTGTAGATTGGACGATAATTTTAATTTAATGAGGGGGAACTAAATTGTGAAGTTGTGACATGAATTTAGCTGACTCAGAATACTACCGAATGGCTAGCTCTTCTGACGAAACGACTCTCACATTTTCCAAAACAGAATTTTTTTGTTAGCTGAATAGCCACGAGCAGCTGTAGGAAGACCTTGTATGATGCAGATAATTAGTTATCTCTTTCCACTTCTGTACTCTTACTCAGGGCGCTCCCAATACGCGAATCCGATTCTTTGCCGTGGTCATGGGTTCGTGCATGGAAAGACAATGTGAGAATAGCCTAAAGTGGTCCAGTTCGCGTGTAATCGAGTGCACGACCAACCACAAATCGCTCCCCTGTAGGCACGGCTACTGGAGATGATGAAGAGTTCCCATAGCCTTAGCGTTAATCATTACACTAGCAAGATTGTCGTGCTGAGATGCTCGTGTGAGCCTCCAGCATTTCAGATTAGTTTTCTTGGGAATCAGCATTACTCCTTATAAGCCTGCAATGGGCCAACACTGTCATTAGTTGCCACTGACATCTTTTAATCCCAGACTTTAACAAAGCTTGTGAAATTTACCTCATACTGTAGTAGGCTACTTTACTTCAGTCTTAAAGGTAAGGCCGTGGAGGTCCATAGGGTTGTGAGACGTCGAGGCTCCCATATTTTCTACACAGTCGGCTCACAGATGGCTGTAAAGTTGTCAGGCTTAAGCGCCGGCCGCTCTTTATCCTCCAGGAAGATTCCTGATACTCATTTCTGTTAGAGTCTGAGTCGACCCCAGGGCCATAATGCGAATGGAAGTATTAGGTAAATTTAAAAAATCCGCCTCATTGGACTCGAACCCGCGACCTACCGGCTTGTAGCAAAGTGCCTCAACCAACTACGCTACCGCTTGCCCCCTTCCCAATGTTTAACAAAGCTAGTGAAATTTACCTCATACTGGAATAGGCTAGCTTACTTCAGAGTTTGAACATGCGTTCTTTGCGACTTGACCTCCTCTGTGGTCCACTGGTCAAAGTTCCTGGCTACAGATCCAGAGGTCCGGGTTCGGTTTCCGGCGCTACCAGGTTTTCTGAGAAGTAGTGGGTCTGGAACGAGGTCCTCTCATCCTCGTGAGGATAATTGAGGAGCTATTTCAAGGAAATAACTGCTCCGGTGTAGAAAACCGAAATTAGCGGCCATGGGTATCCGTTGCGCTATCCGCTAAAGTTGGCACTAACTTCGCTGACAAGCAGCGGTGGCTCGGTCGATATATTTCGCTTGCGGACTAAAACCACGTAGTTTATTTGTTTGTTCTTTGCGACTTTGCTCCCCATATTGCTCTTTATTTTCGTCATCTGCAGACAAAAAATTATTTCCGACGGACTGAACTAACATTCGGCATTGCATTAATCTGCAGTACGGATATTAAAATAACCTGTTCTACGCAACAGAGCCCTTCCTGAGAAAGCAGTTTCCCATCTTTCTGGAACCTGAAGATTAAATTCCTCTTTCAAAATCCTGAGGCAGATGAATCCATCCCATTACTGCACACAATAGTTTTTTAAAGAGCCATTTAATAATATCCTTCCACTTATACGTATTTTTATGAAGTGGTCTCTCCCGTTCAGAGTCGACTAAAGTATAGGCATTTATCGTTCCTCCTGTATGCCCATCTCATCACCATGTTTTGATTCAAATAATATTTGGTGAAGGGTTCAGGTTATGAAGCTAGTCATTATGAAACTTTCTGCTGCCTCCTGTTATTTTCTCCTCTATGGCTCAGATATTCTGCTTAGTCCCTGTTCATAACACACTTGAGCTAAATATCTTTGCCCTTTAATGTAAGAAACCAAATTTCAGACAAATACAAAACAACAGGTAGAATGAGAATCTTGAATATTTTAATCTGTATAGATATTACACTGAAGTGGCATTTGTTATTGTCAAACGTAAAAAAGAGAATATACATAAATATTACATATTAATTTATGAACGTTATATTGAGCGCAATGCAGAGGCAGACTTACAAATTTTGACTTTCGTCACTCTTGTCGGTTTGCCGGTATGCGTGCCGGCTGGTTGTATCCCTTAGTGAGATCATTTGTGTCTATCGCATGTGCCAATTTATTGCTTGCGGTTTGAAGCTTTCGAGAACTTTGATAAAGTTCAGTTCAGGCGTTACGTAAAGCGCGGAACGTTTACGAACAAACGGGAAAAAGCTGAATGGCTTATAGTGTAGAATCATTACACGAAATTTAATCGAAAT